CGGCGGGTGTTCGTGGGACGCTGGGAGGTGGGGCGCCCGCCCTCGGTCTGCCCCCGGTCAGCCCGCGCCCTGCTGTTGTTTCAGAGTACGTGGAGAAGCCCCTAAAGCTGGTCCTCAAAGTGGGTGGCAGCGAAGTCACTGAGCTCTCCACGGGCAGCTCCGGGCACGACTCTAGCCTCTTCGAAGACAGAAGCGACCATGACAAACACAAGGACAGAAAACGGAAAAAGAGGAAGAAAGGAGAGAAACAGGCTCCGGGAGAAGAGAAGGGGAGGAAACGGAGAAGAGTCAAGGTAAAGGTGGCTTCGTTGCTTATGGCCCCGTCACCAGCTCCCAGCCTCCTTGTCCTCGGTCCAGTGGGACACCTGGGCGCCTGGGGAGTCTGGCTTTGTGGAGGAGTAAGACAGACTAGAAGCCTGGATCACCTGGGAGCTCGGCAAGTCTTGTCTTGATAATACTCTTGAGCGCTTGTGCGGTCCCCACACGTCTTGTAAGCAGGGAGCCCTGGTCTTCAGGAGCTGCTCCAAAGGATACTTTTATAATTATCTTGGAAGGGTAAGAATTCATTCCCCGGGAAGCCTTGGAGGTTTGCCAGACCTAGCCGGTCTTCACAAGTGAATAGGGGCTACGGGTGTTGAGTTGTTTTTCTGAAATAAGTGTTTTAATGGCAAATTGAGCTGCGACGAGATGGCACGTGCCTTAATCCCAGCACTCAGGAGACTGAGGCCAGCCTGTGCTGCTAAATACAACTGTCTCAAAAAAAAAAAAAAAAAAAGTCTTGAGTCTGTTGAAGAGAATGTGATTACCAAGAGTAAAACAACTATTTTCACTTAATAGAAAATAATTAGTAGCTGATGTCTTGATTTACATGGTAGGATGAATAGTAAGAACTTTTTTCACAGAGGTGAGCCCATCCATATCCGGAATTGCCTAGAATTCTACACAAAAGTTTAGCTGCCTCTTAGTGGCTTACCTTAAGAGTGATACTTTCCATGGTTTGGTTCCTGAATTCTTTTGCTGTATAGAGCCTAAGTGCCCTACTCCCTGTCAGTAAACACATTGGTGAGTGACCAAGCCTTAGAGATTGTCTCTTTAAGATGTTTTAAATTATCCAGGAAAAAAATATCCAAAATGTATTTCTTTCTGATCGGGTTTTTATTGCCTTTAGGTAGACTATGACAGTAGTCACAGTCTCTGGTCAGGCTGACTGACATTTTCTTTTCCTAAACTACCAAAACCACAGAAGCTGAGCCTTTTTGTTTTTTAACTGAGAGCTTTGGAAGTGAACAAGTTGTAAATTGTCTTACCTGTGAGCTCAACAAGTCTTTCAATATTCTTGGGCACTTGAACATCAGGTTAGTAGCTGGCCTGGAACTCAGTATAGTGTCATCATTCAGTTTTCATCTCCTATTGCTGAGACTGTCGGTGCGCACCACACCCCTGGTTTAGAAACCTAAGAAGTATGTATAGGTAGATTTTGGTAAGCTTTCCACATTTAGAAATGTTTGCCCTTGGGTAGAAATCTCATACAGATTGAGTTTGAGTCAATATAGAAATTTAAATTGAAAAGTATTTTCTAAGAATTTTAACATTTAGTACAAGTGTGTGTGTGTGTGTGTGTGTGTGTGTGTGTGTGTGTGTGTGTACTTGTGTAGCTCAGAAGAGGATGTCATACCCCTAAGAGCTGGAGTTCCAGGCAAACTGTGAGCGTCCAAAGTAGGAACTAAACTTGGGTCCTCTGGAAGAACAAGTGATCTTAGTTGTTTTTTGTTTTTTGGGGTTTTTTGCTCTTAATTGTTGATACTTCTTTCCATCCCCCCTTCTCTCGGAATTTTAAAAGCATTTTAAAATTTAAAATTAAACATATTTTACATATTTTGTCACTGCTGTTCAGAAATCAGTCTGTTTCACTCTAATTAGCTTGTGACCAGTATTTGCTTTCTTGGAATTTTTGGGATTGTCCCCTTTGTTGTCATTGTTCTAATGTTTCACAATAGATACTTGAGCCTTCAGTTCTGAGGTGTTTGCTCAAAGTATCTTTGATCGTTTTCTTTCCTCCTTTTTCTCTTCTGTGGAACCTCTGCCATGTAGATGTTGGACTCCTAGATTGAAACTCTAATATTCTTATTTTATTCTCTTAGTTTCTTGTATTCAAGGGAGAACTCAGCTTTATCTTCTGAGAATGAGACTGGGTATTGCTGTATAGGCATCACACTGGTATAGGGTCACAGATATAAAGCTTTCTGTCCATTCTCAGGCTCTACTTTGTACGTCAGTAACTCTAGGGACCCTGAGTTTTAACAAGGCCTTCAGATGATTCGGATGCACATTTCAGCTTAAAAACCATAATGGGAAGCCAGGTGTAGTATTGTACTTTAATCTGGGGGGGGGGGCGCGCGACTAAGTTTGAGGCCTGCCTGATCTGCATAGTGAGTTCCAGGACTACATAGAGAAACCCTGTCTTGAAAAAAACAGAACAAAAGAACCATAAGTCAATAATAATCTTTTATGTGTTTCTGTATGTATCATGTTGTGAAGTTAGTCTAGACTGTACAGAGAAAGGACTAGCTGAGAATGGGGGAAAGCTTCTGCAAGCTTTGTAAAGTAATTGTAATTGCTGCCCTAATTGTACCTACTCAACTAGCTAGAACAATGGTTCTCAACCTGTGGGTCGCGACCCCTTTGAGTCAACTGACCCTTTTACAGCTCACCACTGGAAAACACAGGTACTTGCATTATGATTCATAATAGTAGCAAAACTTCAGTTATGCAATAGCACAATAATAATGGTTGTAGATCACCTCCCCATGAAGGAATTGTATTAAAGGGTCACAGCTTTAGGAAGGTTGAGAACCACTGATTGGAAGGTATTTCTTATTTCTCAATATTTTTATTAAAACTTGTTCAGATATTTAAATTTTGCCCATCAGAGAGAGACTCTTCTAAGTTTTTATTTTATCTTTTAATGTGGATGGGTGTTTTGTCTGTGTATATCTGGAGTGCTACTGCATTCTGGTGCCCATTAGAGGTAGAAGAAGGCATTGGAGCCCCTGGATCTGGAGTTGTGAGCCACCTTGTGAATCAAAGCTGGGTGCTCTGAAACAGCAGCCAGTCCTCTTAACTGCTAAGGTATCTCTCTAGCCCTGATGTGTAGTTTTTAAGTTTATAATTCCTGAGGCTTAGGGAGCCTGAGCTAGTTTCAGATCCCTTCTGTGAATTATCTACGGTGCCCTTTTTATTTGGTTCTTAATCTCTTTATATGGTTTTATAAATGTTTTGTATCTATTCTTGCTCTCTCTTTTATGATTGTTTATGTTTCAAGTACTTTATCCCAGTTTATTGCTAGATATTTTAGCTTGGTTTATTGGCTTTATTGATGCACCAAAATTTATGAATTAAATTTCAAATTTGGAATGGGGAGGCAGTTGTTAAGAGCACTTGCTCTTCTAAGGGACCTGAGTTCTGTTTCTAGTACCCCTGTCAGCTCACCACCTGAAACTCCAGTTCCAGGATATCTGATGCCCCCTTCTGGCCTCCATGGGCACTGTATGCATGTGGTTTACATATATACACCCAGACAGACATACATGTATACATAAAATAAATCTTTAAGTCAAATTTATCAAATTTGTTCTTTAAGAATCAGTCTTTCTGTGGTTCACTTACGGAAAAATATCTCTACTGTTGGGAGTTTGGTGTGTGGGTTGGTTCCTGGATTTATAGTCCATTCTGTTGTGCTTGTGTACCCCTTTGTCCGCATTGTCTTTACAATCACACTATGCTAGGTGCCATTGAGGCTTACTGTCTTTTGTAGGGAGCATTCACTTCCTTGCTTGCTTGGTTGCTTGCGGTGCTGGAAATCAAACCTAACCAAGCTGTCTCAGCAAGTGTTTTACCAGGGATCTATCTACATCCTCAGCTCCTCGTTATCTCACTGTGATCTTTTCAAAACTGTTCTGCTTTAATCATTCACTCTTTAAGAAAAGTATATAACTGGTTTGCAGATTTCATGAAAAATTCTGTTTTAAAAGTTTGAGTGGCATTACATTGAATTTGATGACTTTGAACAGAACTGACTTACTTGATTAACATGCTATATGTCCATGTTCAAGTTTTCTGCTATTTATTGGCTCACTAATGTTTCATGATTTCCCATGGAAATCTTAGGTTTGCTCTGACATATTATATTGTGTGTGTGAATAGTATTATTTTTCTAATCAATTATTGCCGGACACAGAGAAATGGACTTCTTTTCCTCAATGAACATGTTCTCTTTGTCCAGTAGATGGCAGCAAAATACATTGATTTCTTAATTTAAAATTTATTCTTTTCAGTAGTACTTTTCCTTCAAAACTAAAATGATATGTATTTAAAGACGTTGTTTATGAAACATTTCTAAATTGTTTCCCTTTGTTCTATTTAGGAGGATAAAAAGAAGCGGGATCGAGACCGTGTGGAGAACGAGGCAGAAAAAGATTTCCAGTGTCATGCCCCTGTGAGATTAGACTTACCTCCCGAGAAGCCTCTCACAAGCTCTCTAGCCAGACAAGAAGGTTGGAGTTGCTCTGAGCTGTCTGTCCTGAGTGAGGAGGCAGAAATTGTGGGGAGGGAAAGGGACCAGGCATTAGCTTCTGAGTTATACCTTCAAGGCTTGTAGTGA